TTGGGGGGAAAAATTTCCCTCCCCAAAAGGGTTTTTTTTTTTTTTCCCCCCCCCCCCCCCCCCCCCCCCCCCCCCTTTTTTTAGTATGAAACATTATTTGAGTTTCCTGAACCTCTCCTCAGAAATCTATCTATTAGATCTACACTATACGCTACCTAAATCTTACAACACCCGAGCATGGAAATAATGTTACCATATTTCTAGTATCTTTGTATTTTATCATTTCAAAAACTTCCATTCTGATTATCTCTTACAGAAATTTCCCATCCTAGATGATTCACTTTCCTACTTCGAATGTATTGATCACTGTCATGACAAATATGTATGTCTTTCATGATTCCTTTTGTCACCCTTTAAAGGATGGATGAGGAGTCACTGTTACTGCTTGCGATTGATTAATTGATGAAGTACCAGGAACTGAGTATCTACTTAATCCTGCCTTCTGGCTCTTCTCCTCCCATGTTCATGAGCTGAATATGTACCACACATGTTCAATTCTAACAGATCGTAGTCTGACATTTCTTGGCATAGTTAGAGTTATTTCTAAGATGCATGGTGTATTGGTTTTCTTGAGTGTGAATCTAATTTGTGCTGCTGAGACCTTTGATACCGTTTGACTTCCATGATTATGTTCTGATGTCCTTATATCATTGGTTGAAGTCACATTTACATTTTATTTCCTGATTGACAGCGAAGATGGAAGATTAAGGTGTGGATTTTCCAGTTTTAGAGGAAAGAGGGCTACCATGGAGGACTTCTATGACATTAAGGCTTCCAAGATTGATGGACAGTCAGTATGTCTGTTCGGGATATTTGACGGTTTGCTCTTGTCCTATATACCCCTTTTTTTTTTCTGAAGCTTAATTTTTTATGGCTAAAAGAGCAGGATTTGGAGGGGACAAATGTTGATATAAACGGCCCATATAAAGATAAGACTGGTTATATATAACCCGTGCTACAAATTTTATGAATGAGATCTGGTCACTCATATCAATTTTACCTAATACTTCCAACAGCAGGGGACAAATGAACTTGGATAAGAGAATTAGGAGAACCTATGTCCTCAAAAGCAATTCCATTTGTACATTGTTTAGTTTGTCAAAGTTTCATACATTAAGCAAATATCAATTGAGCGTTGAGGCTCAACATGCTTATCACTAAGGCTTTTTAACTTGCTCATGAAAAATCTTCCATTTTCTAGAAACCTATTTTCCTCCCCAATGTGAAGTCTTTACATAAGATTGAACGATTTGAAACAATATGTGCTCAAGCATGGATCGTAAAAACATGCCAACTTTGGAGTCAAATGTTTATTTGAATATAATCATGAAATTTTCTTAGTTTATGCTTTTAATTATGAATAGAGAAAAGTAATGTTACTCTTCTAATGATGATAATCTATCATGGCAGGTCATGGTGGTTCTCGTGCTGCTGAATATTTGAAGGAACATCTCTTTGACAATCTCATGAAACACCCAGAATTTTTTAAAAATCCAAAATTTGCTATAAGTGAGTCGAGATTTCCGATTTCTATCACTTCTTATATTACCAAATGATGATGTGTTATTGGATCGGGGGTCTCTTTTTGGTAATGTACCGGAATCTATGGCTAAATAGCGAATGGAAAAAAAAATTAGGAGTTTAGGTTTCTAGCAATTGAAATTTGTCCATGGCGAGTTCTTTGCTATACTAAGAATAAACTGCCTCATCTAGAACTTACCTCAATAATTTGCCATATAATACCCACAGCTTTTTGTTGGTTAAGCTCCCATGCAGATTTTATTCGTTCTGTTCCATATGCTGCTTAGATGTTGCTTTATTGGATATCAAAGTAGTCACATACAAAAGCATATGAAATACTATTATATCTTATATCTCAAGAAGAATTACTTGGTTAATATTATGATCTTCAATTCTTCATGCATTTAGAAGGTGAGGCATAAATTTGTGAAACGACTTCGGAAAAAAGATGTTGCTTTATCTCGGGATGCATGATAAGACTGATAGACTCTTACATTCATTTTGCCCGGTCTTTATGACCTGCCCCCAGCTTGTATGTGCTGGCATACTATTTGACTTGCTACTTTGGTTGCAACATTAGAAAATTCAAGCCTGTGCAAGGCAGGCTAGTAATGGTTGTGTGATTCTAATTCTTTTTAACGTCTCTGTTTTAATTTGTGCTACCAAATACTAAAACATGACCACAGGTGACACATATCAGCAGACAGACAGAGACTTTTTGGCATCTGAAAGGGACACCTTCCGAGACGATGGCTCAACAGCTTCAACTGCAGTTCTTGTTGGCAATCACCTTTATGTTGCTAATGTTGGAGATTCTCGAACTATAATATCCAAAGCTGGAAAAGGTACTACATAGTTCTATTTGATATTTTAAAAAAATCTTCAAGGTATTGTAAACTAGAATCCTTTTTCTCTTCGATGAAAATTTGAAGCTGTAGAGTAAATGTCGGCTAACATCATTATTCCAGACTTGTAGATTTTTTGATCCATTATTTTTATTCATGGAGTTGGTGATGATTATTTGGGGCTTATGGTACCTCGGCAGATTAGCAAGAACAAAAGAGTTCTTGACAAATTTCTTCTGTTTCTCTTATTTATTTATTTATTATTTTTTGTAATCAACAGCGATTCCACTCTCTGAAGATCATAAACCAAATAGAAGTGATGAGAGGAAGAGAATTGAAAGTGCTGGAGGTGTTGTTATGTGGGCAGGTTTGGCCTTCTATATTATCCAAATTGTTGTGTTCATTCAATATCATGATAATGTGGCAAGGGTTGCTGTCCTTTGGAAATGTGTCTATGTGTTACTTCTTTTGTACTTTCATCTTTGCCACATGAGAGACTGGTTATTCTTAATTGAGATGTGTGGTGAAAAGAGAAGAGAGGTTATTTTTAGGTTAAAATATTTAAGCGAATCTATGCCTTGTCTATAGAAAGTTATAACATCAAATTCAAAGTTATCTATAATAAAAATTGCGAGTGCTACGAAGTAGTGATGACATTATGTTATTGATTTCATATCAGGAACTTGGAGGGTCGGAGGTGTCTTGGCCATGTCTCGTGCTTTTGGCAATCGCATGCTGAAGCAATTTGTTGTGGCTGAACCTGAGATTCAGGTACTCGGGAATTTTTAATAGAATTTTAGTTTTTCCTTAGTAATCCAAAGTAGGTCATGGTTTGGCCTAAAAACAGTGTTCAAAACAGACACCAATTTTATTGTTTCGATACTACAGGACCAAGAGGTTGACCAGGACTTTGAATTGCTTGTTCTTGCTAGTGATGGTCTTTGGGATGTCGTACCTAATGAGGTAAAGCCTTTTAGATCATTATCACTACTTTTTGTTATCAACTGAAATCATAAGTTTCTTTCCAGCCTTTTAGTTTCTATACACTGGTCCGATGGCACATACAATTCAAATGTTATAATATTTGGTGAATAACTAAACGAGCACGTATAGAGGATTAAACTTCCATCACTCTGTAAAATTATCCCGAAATTCCGTCCTGAACTCATACTAGTAGAATTGTATCTAATCCGTAATTTAAATGTACTACTGATGTTTTGGAATTATCTATGCTCATTTAGGCCTTTTTTGGGAATTTTAGTCAGGCTTGATAGACAATATAATCAAGTTTTGTCAAATGTTTGGTGTTTAGGTTTGAAGCTCATGATAAAAAGCGTGCCCGGATTATAATCGAGTATATGAAGGATATTTAATTCAAACTCAACCCCAATTATTACACAATCAAATGCAGGATATTAGCCGATACATATAATCACGGATCTCAATCTCAAACATCACATTAAATTATGATAGACAATGCAATCCTAACCAATTCAATCAATCTTACCTAATAAGGCGTTAAGGGAAAGTATTATTCTTAATACGACAAGAAAACGAACTATTTCTGATGCAACTGTGCACATTTATTTCAGGATGCGGTTCTGATAGCTCAAACAGAAGAAGATCCAGAAGGAGCTGCTCGTAAACTGACAGAGACTGCTTTTGGTCGTGGTAGTGCCGACAATATCACCTGCATTGTCGTCAAGTTCCACCACGACAAAGCAGATCCTGAAGAACCACCACCATCACCACCACAGCAGGATTTTGAGGTCAAACCCGAGTCAGAAGAAACTGAGGAAAACGACAAAGCAGACTCTCCGCCCGAAGAATGCCAGCAAACTTCGAAAGAAGAGCCCCATATAACCCAGCAAAGTTGATGAACTCTCCGAAGCATAAATCTGCATGATCTGCATTATGCCCGTATGCTGTCGGTGGTTGTGATTTGTTCATTCATTGGTTTGTTTCTTGTATTTCTGTCTTTGTAATTCAAATGTACTGGAGGTGGTGTTCTTTTAATTTTATTTTTTTGGTAAGTTGGTGTAATTTTTATTTTAATAAAGAACTGGCGTTTTTGGTCATTGACTCGTTGCCAAAATGAACTCGGTGGAGACTCGGTGGTACTCGGATTTTGATTTTTGATTCTCTTTTGCAGTCATTAATACGGTGTCGTTTCATTTGCTTTATTTCCTGAGTTGCTTTTGGAATGAAATATAACCGGATTTTGCCAATCAAGTCATACTCAATAAAGTCAAGGGCTATTATAGTAATCTAACACAATCGTTGACTAAGTGTAACATTGCCTTTGCTTTTCTCCCGCGCTTACCAATATTCAAAAGTGACAACTACAAATGACTAACTAAAATATAAATTACAAAACAAAAAAAGAAAAAAATCAAATTGCAATGGAATCAAACACTAATATGAAATATCTATATTGTAGTAGCCTGTGATCTTGTTATATATTTTGCTTGATAAACCTTTTAATTAAATGGGATTGAAGTAGATTTTGCTTTAGTAGTATAAAAAGAAAATTAATAATATTTTTGAAAAAGAAAATTAATTATACAAGACAAAAATAGTAAATGCATTACAACTGACAGCAAAGGAAATCGAGGACCTAAAAAAAAAATTAAATTCGTTCTATTCGTGACAGATGTACATAATAAATGACGATAAAAGGCGAAATCCAACAGGTGTAAAGATGCATGAATTTTAAGCATTTGAAAAGTAACTATTGTTTAAAATCCAATTATTAACCATGGTTAAATCCAACTCTAGTTAGGGTTAACCCGATTTTTTTTTTTTTATTATATAAGAAACATGAGATGAAACCCTGCAATAGTCACTACCAATTTTCTCAATTGCATATACATTTTGTGCACTTTTTCAGGTTTCTTATTTCAATTTGGTGGAAAAGATAGATAGATAAAACCCCAACCAGCTCAAACACCCGCCGATTCAAACTCCTCAATTTTATCAGTAATTCATCTCTTCTTCTCTCCTTTTCCTTTTATTTTTTGTTTTCTACGTGGAATTTGTAATCTTCAATTCTGAATTTTGATTTTGAGTGAAATTGATTTTTTTTTTCCTGTCGTGTTTTCAGCATACAGATCCATGGTTAGCTTTATGTGTTCTGTTTTCGTTTTATTTTACATTTAGGGGTTTAACTATAATTTTGCACAGATTTGTACTCGTTGTGATTGCTTGAATCATTGTTTTTTTTTTTTTTGAAGGTTTTTTATCATTTACTGCTGTTGAGACGAAGGTTGTGCTGTGATTAGGGTTTTCGCCTGATAATTTATTGATCTGGTGTAATGTGGTTTTTCTGTGTAAGTTGCGCTCAAATAATCATTTGCAGAATGTTTCTTCAATTTCATCAATTTCTTTTGAATATTGAATTTGGAGTTAAATGATTTTAAAATTGAACTTGGGTGTGTTTTGAAAAAAGAATAAGCAGCTAAAGACTGTGTGGTTTCATGTTCATGCAGATGTTTTACATCTTAACTTGGAATTTTCATTTGCTCGTAAACTTGGCTGATTTCGCGGGTAATTTTTTTTTAACTGTTTGAGTCGACCGTTATCAACACGTGTTCGAAACAGGTTATCGGAATTTTCATTTGCTTGTAAACTTGATTGATTTCGCGGGTAAAATTTTTAAACTGTTCGAGTCGACCGTTATCAACACGTGTCCGAAACAGGTTACTGTTTTAACGGATCGACCGTTATGAACACGTGTTCAGAAAAGCTCCATTTTAAAACATTTCTGTCAATCCTAATCGGCACGCACATAATTAATTCTCTGAATTTATGTAAGCGTAAAATGATGGAAGTAAATGAGAAATTTCCGATCCATCTCAGATTTGAATACTTTTATTTCCTTTTCCGAAAGCCTTTGAATTACGCCCCATTCCTAAAAAGTACAGTTTTATTTCCCAAAATTACTTTCAAATATGATCCGAACCCTAAGCTTTAGCGAAACATAATGTCACCAAATTGAACCATCTGTTGTAGGTTGAGTTGTTCAATTGTAGATTTGAGGGTTCAGTACTGGGTTAAATGTGTTTCTATATTTTAGTGTTTCTTATGGAAATTTCGGGTTTTAGTTCAATCAACTTGTATTTCGATCTTGTCTAACTTAATGTTTATTATTTGATGGAACTTTGGGGGTCTTTATATTTTGCACGTCGAAATCATGATCCCTTGATTTCTGCTCATGTTTCACGTTGTTTTGCTTGGGTGATCAATTTTGTCTAGATGATATATCTATATTTTGTATCAATACTTAAAAGTTTCGACTGCTCCATGAATACTTGTTGTATTTCCGTGGATTTCATTTCTTTTGTTTCCTCCATTGCATTGTATTTCTGTCATTATAGAACTAACTTCATTTATCTTTTCTGTCATAACATAGGTACTTGGCGCAATTAAATATTAAACGGTTCGCTGTTTTGTGGAGATCGTTACCTATATCAGTGCAATTTTTTCGTGTTTCTAGTGAGCTATCAGTGGGTGCACTTCTGCTGTTGTATTGCCATATCAAGAGTACCGTCGATAATCTAGTGAAGCGTCGAATATGGAGTGCAATAGAGATGAAGCGATGAGGGCAAAATCTATCGCAGAGGCGAAGTTGGAGCAGAGGGACTTTTTTAGTGCAAAAAAGTTCGCCTTGAAAGCACAAAATCTGTACCCAGGCTTGGATGGTATTTCCCAGCTGCTGATGACACTCGATGTGTACATTTCAGCAGAAAACAAAATTAACGGGGAAACGGATTGGTATGGAGTGCTAGCTGTGAGCCCTTCTGCCGACGAGAACACGATAAAGAAACAGTTCAGGAGATTGGCTCTTCTGCTGCACCCGGACAAGAACAGCTCTATCGGTGCAGATGGTGCGTTCAAGCTTATCTCCGAGGCCTGGAAGTTGCTGTTGGACGAGGACAGAAGGTTGGCCTACAACCAACGAAGAGGAATTATCGGATTCCAGCAGAGAATTCCGGCACACACTGGCGGTGCACCTTCAGCGCACACTAGTTGTGCACCATCAACACCCTGCACTACCGGTGCTCCATCAGCGCACGCTGGTTGTGCTCCATCAGCACCAGGCACTAGCGGTGCTCCATCAGCGCACACTGGTGGCGCTTCATCAGCACCATGCACTAGCGGTGCTCCATCATCGCACACTGGTGGTGCTCCATCTGCACACACTGGCTTTCGTCCACAAGTTTACACAGGTGCTAGTCCATCGGCATGCACTGGCGACCATCCACCAGCACAACCAGGTGTCGGTCCGTCGGCACGCCCCGCTGGTCGCCCCCCAGCTCACACCTCTGTCCCGCCAGCATATACCAGCGGCCCATCAGCATATTCCAGCAGCTCGTCAGCACCACCTGGAGCAAGAACTACAGTCCCGAAGGCACAGAAGAAGACTGCCAAGGTGCCCTCAAAACCAGCTCCTACTCCACTCTACAAGAAAAACAGTGATACTTTCTGGACAATATGTAATCTCTGCAACATGCAGTACGAGTACCTCCGGATGTATCTGAACAATATTCTCCGCTGTCCAAGCTGTAAGAAGCCATTTATGGCGTTAGAGATGGCTCAACCTCGTTTTTCCAAAAAATGCAAGCCTGTGCCTTATCAGGCAAAGAAGAAGCCGTCTGGTAATTCAACCACTCAAAATGCTGAAGATCCGGCTCCTTCTGTGGCGTCAAGAGAACCCACTTTTGTTGTGATAAGCCAGCTTCCAAGCGATAAGAAGCGAAGAAGTCGTCCGGCCCCATCATCTGATCCATGTCCTAAGAAAGCAAAAGTAGATGTTGCTAGTGACAGTTCCGGAATGAACAGTAATATGGCACAGGGATCTGCAAGTGTGTCTGGATCGAATATTTACGATTTTCCTGGCATGAATCGTAATATTCCACAGGGGTTTGGCGGCTTTGCAACTACAGCTGGAACTGGAGCAACAACGTATGGTTTTCCTGGCATTAACCATAACGCTGCACATGGATTTGGTAGCTTTGTGGCTACATCTGGATCTGGATCAAAGACTTAACTGAATACACAGATATGGGACCTCATTTGTGGACTAATTGATCTTCGTCAGCTATATATGTTAATTCTTTTGTACTTTTATCTTCGCCACATGAGAGATTGGTTATTCTTGATTGAGATGTGTGGTGAAAAGAGAAGAGAGGTTATTTTTAGGTAAAATATTTATGATAATCTATGCCTTGTCTGTAGAAAGTTATAACGTCAAATTCAAATTTATTTATTAAAAAAAAAAATCGCGAGTGCTTGGAAGTAGTGTTGACATTATGTTATTGCTTTCTTATCAGGAACTTGGAGGGTCGGAGGTGTTTTGGCTATGTCTCGCGCTTTTGGCTACGCATGCTGAAGCAATTTGTTGTGGCTGAACCCGAGATTCAGGTACTCGGGAATTTTTAATAGAATTTTTGTTTTTCCATTGTAATCCAAAGTTGGTCATGGTTTGGCCTAAAAACAGTGTTCACAACAGACACAAATTTTATTGTTTCCATACTACAGGACCAAGAGGTTGACCAGGACTATGAATTGGTTGTGCTCGCCAGTGATGGCCTTTGGGATGTCGTACGTAATGAGGTAAAGCCTTTTAGATGATTATCACTACTTTTTCGTTTATGAACTGACTTCGTAAGTTCCTTTTCGGAATTGTTTATCCAACGTAGGATATTAGCCGATACAAGAATCGTATAATAATATATCTCAATCTTAAACTTAATAATCATAAATACATCGACATTCCCAAATAAGGGAAAATCTTATCCGAAATACGACGAAGAAAACGAACTATTTTTGTAATGCTACTGTACACATTTATTTCAGGATGCCGTTCAGATAGCGCAAACAGAAAAAGGAGCTGCTCGTAAACTGACGGAGACTGCTTTTGGTCGTGGTAGTGCCGACAATATCACCTGCATTGTCGTCAAGTTCCACCACGACAAAGCAGATCCTGAAGAACCACCACCATCACCACCACAGCAGAATTTTGAGGTCAAACCCGAGTCAGAAGAAACTGAGGAAAACGACAAAGCAAACTCTCCGCCCGAAGAATGCCAGCAAACTTCGAAAGAAGAGCCCCATACAACCCATCAAAGTTGATGAATTCTCCGAAGCATAAATCTGCATGATCTGCATTATGCCCGTATGCTGTCGGTGGTTGTGATTTGTTCATTCATTGGTTTGTTTCTTGTATTTCTGTCTTTGTAATTCAAATGTACTGGAGGTGGTGTTCTTTTAATTTTATTTTTTTGGTAAGTTGGTGTAATTTTTATTTTAATAAAGAACTGGCGTTTTTGGTCATTGACTCGTTGCCAAAATGAACTCGGTGGAGACTCGGTGGTACTCGGATTTTGATTTTTGATTTTCTTTTGCAGCCATTAATACGGTGTCGTTCCATTTGCTTTATTTCCTGAGTTGCTTTTGGAATGAAATATAACCGGATTATGCCAGTCAAGTCATACTCAATAAAGTCAAGGGCTATTATAGTAATTTAACACAATGGTTGACCAAGTGTAACATTGTCTTTGCTTTTCTCCCGCGCTTACCAATATTCAAAACTCAAAAGTGACAACTACAAATGACTAACTAAAATATAAATTATAAAAAAACAAAAAAATAAATTGCAATGGAATCAAACACTAATATAAAATATCTAGATTGTAGTAGCCTGTGATCTTGTTATATATTTTGCTTGATAAACCTTTTAATTAAATGGGATTGAAGTAGATTTTGCTTTAGTAGTATAAAAAGAAAATTAATAATATTTTCGAAAAAGAAAATTAATTATACGAGACAAAAATAGTAAATGCATTACAACTGACAACAAAGAAAATCGAGGACCTCGAAAAAAAATTAAATTCATTATATTCCTGACAGATGTAGGTAATAAATGACGATAAATGTTGAAATCCAACAGGTGTAACAATGCATGAATTTTAAGCATTTAAAAAGTAACTATTGTTTAAAATCTAATTATTAACCATGGTTAAATCCAACTCTAGTTAGGGTTAACCCGATTTTTTTTTTTATTATATAAGAAACATGAGATGAAACCCTGCAATAGTCACTATCAATTTTCTCAATTGCATATACATTTTGTGCACTTTTTCAGGTTTCTTGTTTCAATTTGGTGGGAAAGATAGATAGATAAAACCCCAACCGGTTCAAACACCCGCCGATTCAAACTCCTCAATTTTATCAGTAATTCATCTCTTCTCTCCTTGTCCTTTTTTTTTTTGTTTTCTACGTGGAATTTGTAATCTTCAATTCTGAATTTTGATTTTGAGTGAAATTGATTTTTTTTTAATTTTTTTTTCTGTCGTCTTTTCACTTTTCAGCATACAGATCCATGATTAGGTTTCTGTGTTCTCTGAATTTGGGTTCTGTTTTTGTTTTATTTTACATTTAGGGGTTTAACTATAATTTTGCACAGATTTGTACTCGTTGTGATTGCTTGAATCATTGTTTTTTTTTCTTTTTAATTTTTTTATCATTTACTGCTGTTGAGACGAAGGTTGTGCTGTGATTAGGGTTTTCGCCTGATAATTTACTGATCTGGTGTAATGTGGTTTTTCTGTGTAATCTGTGCTCAAATAATCATTTGCAGACTGTTTCTTCAATTTCATGCATTTTTTCTGAATATCGAATTTGGTGTTAAATGATTTTAAAATTGAACTTGGGTGTGCTTGGAAAAACTAATAAGCAGCTAAAGGCTGACTGGTTTCATGTTCATGCAGATGTTTTACATCTTAACTTGGAATTTTCATTTGCTCGTAAACTTGATTGATTTCGCGGGTAATTTTTTCTAACTGTTTGAGTCGACCGTTTTCAACACGTGTCCGAAATAGGTTATCGGAATTTTCATTTGCTTGTAAACTTGATTGATTTCGCGGGTAAATTTTTTAAACTTTTCGAGTCGACCGTTATCAACACGTGTCCGAAACAGGTTACTGTTTTAACGGATCGACCGTTATTAACACGTGTTCAGAAAAGCTCCATTTTTAACCTTTCTGTCGATCCTAATCGGCACGCAAATAATTATTAACACTCTAAATTTATGTAAAGTGTAAACAGATGGAAGTAAATGAGAGATTTCCGATCCATCTCAGATTTGAATACTTTTATTTCTTTTTCCGAACGCCTTTGAATTACGCCCCATTCCTAAAATTACAATTTTATTTCCCAAAATTACTTTCTTACTTTCAAGTATGATCCGAACCACTAAGCTTTAGCGAAACATAATATCACCAAATTGAACCATCTGTTGTTCAATTGCAGATTTGAGGGGTTCAGTACTTGGTTAAATGTGTTTATATATTTCAGTGTTTCTTCTGAAAATTTCGGGTTTTAGTCCAATCAACTTATAGTTCGATCTTGTCTAACTTAATGTTTATTATTTGATGGAACTTTGGGGTTTTTTATATTTTGCACGTCGAAATCATGATCCCTTAATTTCTGCTCATGTTTCACGCTGTTTTGCATGGGTGATCAATTTTGTCAAGATGATATATATATTTTGTATCAGTACTTAAAAGTTTAGACTGCTCCATGAATACTTGTTGTATTTCCGTTGATTTCATTTCTTTTGTTTCCTCCATTGCATTTTTCTGTCATTATAGAACTGACTTCATTTATCTTTTCTATCATAAATTAGGTCCTTGGCGCAATTAAGTATTAAAAGGATTGCTGTTTTGTGGAGATCTTTACCTATATCAGTGCAATATTTTCGTGTTTCTAGTGAGCTATCAGTGGGTGCACTTCTGCTGTTGTATTGCCATACCAAGAGTACCGTCGATAATCTAGTGAAGCGTCGAATATGGAGTGCAATAGAGATGAAGCGATGAGGGCAAAATCTATCGCAGAGGCGAAGTTGGAGCAGAGGGACTTTTTTAGTGCAAAAAAGTTTGCCTTGAAAGCACAAAATCTGTACCCAGGCTTGGATGGTATTTCCCAGCTGCTGATGACACTCGATGTGTACATTTCAGCAGAAAACAAAATTAACGGGGAAACGGATTGGTATGGAGTGCTCGCTGTGAGCCCCTCTGCCGACGAGAACACAATAAAGAAACAGTTCAGGAGATTGGCTCTTCTGCTGCACCCGGACAAGAACAGCTCTATCGGTGCAGATGGTGCCTTCAAACTTATTTCTGAGGCCTGGAAGTTGTTGTTGGACGAGGAGAGAAGGTTGGCCTACAACCAACGAAGAGGAATTATCGGATTCCAACAGAGAATTCCGGCACACACTGGCGGTGCACCTTCAGCGCACACTGGTTGTGCACCATCAGCACCCTGCGCTAGCGGTGCTCCATCAGCCCACACTGGTTGTGCTCCATCAGCACCACGCACTAGCGGTGCTCCATCAGCACACACTGGCGGCGCTCCATCAGCACCACGCACTAGCGGTGCTCCATCAGCGCGCACCGGTGGTGCTCCATCTGCACACACTGGCTTTCGTCCACAAGTTTACACAGGTGCTAGTCCATCGGCATCCACTGGCGGCCAACCACCAGCACAACCAGGTGTCGGTCCGTCGGCACGCACCGCTGGTCGTCCACCAGCTCACACCTCTGTCCCGCCAGCATATACCAGCGGCCCATCAGCATATCCCAGTGGCTCGTCAGCACCACCTGGAGCAAGAACTGCAGTTCCAAAGGCACAGAAGAAGAGTGCCAAGGTGCCATCAAGACCAGCTCCCACTCCACTCTACAAGAAAAATGGTGATACATTTTGGACAATATGTAATCTCTGCAACATGCAGTACGAGTACCTCCGGATGTATCTCAACAATATTCTCCGCTGTCCAAGCTGTAAGAAGCCATTTATGGCTTTAGAGATGGCTCAACCGCGTTTTTCCAAAAACTGCAAGCCTGTGCCTTATCAGGCAAAGAAGAAGCCGTCTGAAAATCCAACCACTCAAAATGCTGAAGATCCGGCTCCTTCTGTGGCGTCAAGAGGACCCACTTTTGTTGTGATAAGCCAGCTTCCAAGGGATAAGAAGCGAAGAAGTCGTCCGGCCCCAACATCTGATCCATGTCCTAAGAAAGCAAAAGTAGATGTTGCTAGTGACAGTTCCGGAATGAACAGTAATATGGCACAGGGATCTGCAAGTGTGTCTGGATCGAATATTTACGATTTTCCTGGCATGAATCGTAATATTCCACAGGGGTTTGGCGGCTTTGCAACTACAGCTGGAACTGGAGCAACAACGTATGGTTTTCCTGGCATTAACCATAACGCTGCACATGGATTTGGTAGCTTTGGAGCTACATCTGGATCTGGATCAAAGACTTAACTGAATACACAGATATGGGACCTCATTTGTGGACTAATTGATCTTCGTCAGCTATATATGTTAATTCTTTTGTACTTTTATCTACGCCACGTGAGAGATTGGTTATTCTTGATTGAGATGTGTGGTGAAAAGAGAAGTGATGTTAATTTTAGGTAAAATATTTATGATAATCTATGCCTTGTCTGTAGAAAGTTATAACGTCAAATTCAAATTTATTTATTAAAAAAAAAATCGCGAGTGCTTGGAAATAGTGTTGACATTATGTTATTGCTTTCTTATCAGGAACTTGGAGGGTCGGAGGTGTTTTGGCTATGTCTCGTGCTTTTGGCTACGCATGCTGAAGCAATTTGTTGTGGCTGAACCCGAGATTCAGGTACTCGGGAATTTTTAATAGAATTTTTGTTTTTCCATTGTAATCCAAAGTTGGTCATGGTTTGGCCTAAAAACAGTGTTCACAACAGACACAAATTTTATTGTTTCGATACTACAGGACCAAGAGGTTGACCAGGACTATGAATTGGTTGTGCTCGCCAGTGATGGCCTTTGGGATGTCGTACCTAATGAGGTAAAGCCTTTTAGATGATTATCACTACTTTTTCGTTTATGAACTGACTTCGTAAGTTCCTTTTCGGAATTGTTTATCCAACGTAGGATATTAGCCGATACAAGAATTGTATAATAATATATCTTAATCTTAAACTTAAGATAATCATAAATACATCGACATTCCCAAATAAGGCCAAATAAGGGAAAATCTTATCCGAAATACGACGAAGAAAACGAACTATTTTTGTAATGCTACTGTACACATTTATTTCAGGATGCCGTTCAGATAGCGCAAACAGAAAAAGGAGCTGCTTGTAAGCTGACGGAGACTGCTTTTGGTCGTGGTAGTGCCGACAATATCACCTGCATTGTCGTCAAGTTCCACCACGACAAAGCAGATCCTGAAGAACCACCACCATCACCACCACAGCAGAATTTTGAGGTCAAACCCGAGTCAGACGAAACTCAGGAAAACGACAAAGTTGATGAATTCTCCGACACGTAAATTTGCATGATCTGCATATGCTAGTATTTTGGTTGTGATTTGTTTATTCATTGGTTTGTTTCTAAATATTCACTCTGTCTTTGTAATTCAAATATATTGGAGGTGTTTTTTTCTTCTCTTTTGCAGTCATTAGTAGTACGGTGCCGTTTCATTTGCTTTATTTTCACATGAGTTGCTTTTGGTAATAGGTCATTCTCAAGAAAGTCAAGGGCTATTATAGTAATCTAACACAATCTTTGACCAAGTGTAATAATATTTTTCTTAGATTTTGCCTTTTTTAACCTTACATACATAGAATCTAAATTTTGTACCATCTAAATATAAGCTTATCCCAAAAATAAAATCAAAATGTAGCCATAGCCTATATGTAACATGTTTTGTCTTTCTCCCGCTTTACCAATATTCAAAAGTGACAACAAACAAATTACCTAAGTTTCACACAATTATTAAATTTATAAATAAACAACGCCCAATTATATTTAAAAACACAAAACAAAAAAAACTTTGTAATGGAATCAAACACTAATATGAAATATCTACATTGTAGTAACTTAATATATTTTGCTTGATAAACCTTTTAATAAATGTGATTTAATATATTTTTTGCCCTAATATTATAAAAAATAAAATCGATAATATTTTCGAAAACGAAAATTAATTACATACGAGACAAAAATAGTAAATGCGTTATAACTTACGACTAAGAAAATCAAGGACCTCGAAAAAAAATTAAATTTATTCTATTCGAGACAGGTGCACGTAATAAATATCGGAATCTGACAGGTGGTAGTGTAGTAGCTTAGATTTCAAGCTACTAAAAAAGTAACTATGGTCAAGTTCTAATCATTAACCATGGTTAAATCCAACTCTAGTTAGGGTTAACCAAAATAATATTTTTATATATAAAAAATAAAAATGAGATGAAACCCTTCAATAGTCACTATCAGTTCTATCAATTTACAGATACATTTTGGGCATTTTTCTGGTTTCTTATTTGTTTTGGGGGTTTTTGACTACTCCATTTTCAATTTGGTGGGAAACAAAAGATAGATAAAACCCCAACCAGTTCCAAAACCTGCTGCTGATTCAAGCTCTCCATTTATCAGTAATTCTTCTTTCTCTCACTCTCTTTTTTGTTTTTTGTTTTTACGTGGAATTGTATTCGTCGATTCTGAAATTTGATTTATGAGTGAAATTGATTTTTTTTAAATTTTTTTTCGTCGTTTTTTCAGCATACAGATCCATGTTTAGCTTTCCGTGTTTTCTGTTTGTGTTTTATTTTACATTTGCGGTTTTAGTTATTTTTTTTGCAGAGATTTTGTGCTCAATTGTTTTTTTTTTTTTTTAAATTTACTGCTGTGATGAAGGTTTTACTGTGATTAGGGTTTTTCTGTGTAATCTGGGCTTAAATATTTTTTTGCAGACTGTTTCTGCAGTTTCATGCATTTCTTTTGAAAGCCGCATTTGGTTTAAAAATATTTAAAATTGGACTTGGATGTGCTTGGGAAAAAGAATAAGCAGCTAAATATTGAGTGGTTTCATGTTCATGCAAATGGTTTACATCTTAACTTGGAATTTTCATTTGCTTGTAAACTCGATTGATTTCGTGGGTAAAATTTTTAAACTGTTTGAGTCGACCGTTATCAACACGTGTTCGAAACAGGTTATCGGAATTTTCATTTGCTTGTACACTTCATTGATTTCGCGGGTAAAATTTTTAAACTATTTGAGTCGACCGTTATCAACACGTGTCCGAAATAGGTTATCGGAATTTTCATTTGCTTGTAAACTTTATTGATTTCGCGGGTAAAAAAATTAAACTGTTTGAGTCAACCGTTATTAGCACGTGTTCGCTCCATTTTTTTACATTTTCTGTCGATCCTAATCGGCACACAATTAATTAATACTCCAATTTTTTGTAAAGTGTAAAAAGATGGAAGTAAATGAGAAATTCTCGATCCGTCTCAAATTGAATACTCTTATTTCCTTTTCTGAAAACTTTTGAATTACGCCCCATTCCTAAAATTACAAATTTATTTCCCAAAATTACATTCTTACACCACAAATATGATCTGAATCACCAAGCTTTATCAAAACAAAAGCTCATATGGTTTTAAACATTAATCACCAAATTGAACCATCTGTTGTAGATTGAGTTGTTCAAATGTGGATTCGAGGAGTTCAGTACTGGGCTAAATGTGTTTCTATATTTCAGTATTTCTTCTTGAAATTTCGAGTTTTAGTCTAATCAAATCAAGAATGAGGGTTTGGTGGTGGGTTATACCTGTTTAATTGTCGGGGTGGACTGTGTACATAATCATTGTCTCAGGTTCTTCATCATGGTACATGTCTTTTAAATGATGTTTTATTGTTATGGACATAATTGTTCAGAAGTTAAGATTATACCTGTTATACCTGTTTAATTGTCGGGGTGGACTGTGTACATAATCATTGTCTCAGGTTCTTCATCATGGTACATGTCTTTTAAATGATGTTTTATTGTTATGGACATAATTTTTCAGAAGTTAAGATTATAATATAGTGTTCAGTGGCTTAAAAGTGGGATTGAAGTTCAAAATTGTATAGTTCCAGTGGCTTAATATAGTGTTCAGTGGCTTAATATAGTGTTCAGTGGCTTACCTATTAATGATGGCGATAACTTGACATGCTAGTTTGTTATTTGATGGAATTTTGGGGGCCTTTTTATTTTGCTTGTCGAACTCATGATCCTTGATTTCTGCTCATGTTTCATGTTGTTTTGCATGGGTTATTTTACTCAAAATTTCATTCTATATTTGTCTTCAAGTGATCAGTTTTTTCAAGATTATATATATATATATATATATATATATATATATATATATATATATATATTCTGTATCAGTTTGATACACTTAAAGTCTGCTGCACCATGAATACTTCTTGTGTTTCCGTCGAATTCTTTTCTTTCCCTTTTGTTTTCCTCTGTTGAATTGTATTTATGTCACTATGTAACTAACTTCGTTTATCTTTTCTGTCATAAATCAGGTACTCAGTGCAATAGTATTAAAAGGATCTCTGTTCCGAGGAGATCCTTATCTATTAGTGCAATATTTGCGCGTTTGTAGTGAGCTGTCAGTGGGTGCACTTCTGGTGTTGTATTGCCATACCAAGAGGAGTGTCAATAATTCAGTAAAGCTTTGAATATGGAGTGCAATAGAGATGAAGCAATGAGGGCAAAAGCAATTGCCGAGGCCAAGTTACATCACCAACGCATTTTCATCACAATTCCATCGCATTATATTTCTTCTACAACATTGATAAATTAAGTGATATTTCCCAGATGCTGATGACACTCGATGTGCATATATCAGCAGAAAATAAAATCAATGGAGAAACTGATTGGTACGGAGTACTGGCTGTGAGCCCCTCTGCCGACGAAAATACAATAAAGAAACAGTTCAGGAGATTGGCTCTTTTGCTGCACCCAGACAAGAACAGCTCCATTGGTGCAGATGGTGCGTTTAAACTTATTTCCGAGGCGTGGAAGTTGCTATCGGACGAAGAGAGAAGGCTGGCCTACAACCAACGGAGAGGAATTATCGGATTCCAACACAGGATTCCAAGACACACTGGCAGTGCTCCTTCGACCGGTGCTCCATCCGCACGCACTAATGGTGCTCCATCCGCACGCACTAATGGTGCTCCTACAGCGCACACTGGTTGTGTTCCATCCGCACGCACTGGTTCTCGTCAACCCGTACACACAGGTGCTAGTCCATCGGCACACACTGGCGTCCGCCCACCAGCACAACCAGGTGTCGATCGTCCACCAGTACAACCAGGTGTCAATCCGTCGGCTAGCACTGGTGGTCGTCCACCAGCTCACACCGGTGTCCCACCAGCATATACAGGCGGCTCGTCAGCACAGCCAGGTTTTCCTGGTGAGATGGCAAAAGGTGCGAAACATGGAGACAACAACTACGTTGGTGGTGACCGCGGGGTTGAGAAACTGCAAAATTTGCGGTTGGTGCGCGAGGGATTTGACCTTGACAACAACAGCGAGGGATTTGACCTTGACAACAACAACAGAAGGACTGAATCTAACATGATGATTGCCGACGGTGTAGCCCGAGGTGTATATGTTAGACAAAATTATCATGGACCTGTTCAATTTCATCAAGGTATGACGAATATTCAAAGGGGAGCGACGACTCTGATTTTGAAGAAAACCCGCATATAAGGAGGCAAAAGGATCGTGATAAATATCGGGTAAGAGCTGAAATTCCTTCTTTTAGTGGAAATTTTCTTGAAGTTGAGGATTTTATCGATTGGGTATCAAAAGTCGAAAGATATTTTGAATTGATGGATATTTTGCCGAATAAGATGGTAAAATTGGTTAGGTGTGAGTTAAAGGGTTGTGCAGCCGCATGGTGGGATGAAATACAGAGGAGAAAAGCTAGATAGGAAAAATTTCCAATCCAATCATGGAGGAGGATGAGAAAAATGATAATGGATCGTTTTTTACCTTTAGATTACGAGCAACATCTATTTCAACTATATGGTAATTGTTCGCAGGGGAGTAGATCGGTTAACAAGTATACTGCTGAGTTTATGAGATTAGCAAACTTAAATAACCTGCAAGAATCTGAAAGTACGGAAATTTCGCGGTACTTGGCAAGATTGAATATTTCAATACGTCTTAGGATGGTGTGGCTTACATTCTACATCCTTGAAGAGGCTCAAGAGTTAGCATGGATGGAAGAATATTATCAGCGAAATAGTTCTTCTAAAAAAACCGAAGATGTTCCACCCGTTGTCAAAGTTAAGGAGGTACAAAATACTTCGTTCGTTATTCAAGCAACTAGTTTGGTGGAGGATCATGGCGTAGGGACTAACGAAGTTAAAGACGAAATTGTTGATGCAAAAGTTAAAATTAACGTAGCTATTACTAACGATGACATTAACGAAGTTAAAGTGAACGTCGACGAAGTTGAAGGAACAATCAACGAGCTTGAAGCGAGCATCAACAAAGTTGAAGAGAGCGACAATGGGGTAGAAGAGAATATTAGCAAGCTTGAAGAAGAAGTCGATGAGTTTAAAGAGGGTGTTAAAAGTAAATTTGAGGAAGAG